AGTAATTGAACGCAACAATCAATACACATTCAATGTGGCTGCTATAATACCAAAATCTTGATTTTGAAAGTTAATTGTTCCAGTCCTCTCGCTTCACTCTATTGTCAAATGCAATTTTTTCATAGATAATGAAATATTACATTCCAGCTCAGTAAAATTGAATTGGCCTTTGAGAATATTTCGACGGAATTTAACGCTCTTAGGGGTCGAATAATTTGCCGTCTTTTAAAAGAGGCAAAATATGTTTAGCTTTAAGGAGTGGCGGCGATAAATCTAATTCGGGATCTGGTTTCCTTAGTAAACTAATTTGATTTAGAACCACTCGACGAGTCCGTAATTACGTTAACCGCGCGACCAAGGTGTGTACGAATAGAGGCGATATTGTTGTAGAGGGTGCCTACCATTTTTAATTAATTCTATTGTCGTTTAACGTCACTCGGTACCTATTTTCGTTTTTAGATATCGTAATTAATACTGATGATTCAATTCGTCTTTCTCGATAGTCGTACTTTTCTATCAAATTCAGGTAAATTGGCGGGTAAGACAAAAGATTCCTTATGCAAACATATGAAAAGAAAGCTCATTTTTAATTAATTGTGTATAGTTAGTGCTCTTTTTATGTTTATTGGAAAGATTGGTAATGCTACGGATGCTTCACCTTTTAGTTTAATTATGTGGGCAGATGAGATCACGAAATTATTACTTTTATTTAAATTGATAAGACTTTTAAGTTGATAAAATGTGCAGGTCATCCTTTGTGTAAAATTTCTTTGTCTTTAGATTACTTGTGTAGGTTTTCATTGTTCTACGTTTTCGCATAGATCGCAGTCAGTCAGTGCCAACTTCCTTATTTATGAAGATATTTATTTGAAATTTTAACCATAGGTGCGTCTAGTAAAGAAAAGCATATCACATGTAGTAGAAACCGAAAACTACAAATGTCATTAGCAAAGGCAAACACATCGCACATAGCAAAAATCAAATGCGCACATGCGCACACTGCAAAATGCCAACTTTTTCATTTATGGAGATATTTCTTTGAAATTTTAACCATATATGCCTCCAGTAAGGAAAAACATAACGCACATAGCTATGGCCTTTTGGGAAGTACTGATCATTCATGGAAAATGCGCTGAATTTACTCGCCTTAGGGCGAAAATCTTTTTACTTGTTTGTATTTTTTTTTGTATTTTGCATTTCAACAAAACGGAAAAATATCTTAAACCTACAATTTTCAAATAACCAAATATCAGAAGTTGCTTCGTGACACACTCCGTGTAGATCCCTTAAGAATTTTTGTATGTGTTTAATTACAACAAAAGTTAAAAAAAATATCTTAAAAAACGTTAAATCTGCAAATAATCTAATGTAAAAAACTTCTTGTTGTCACACTCCGTCTATTTTCATTAAGGTTTTTGGGATAAATTTCCATTTCAAAACAAGTTAAAAAAAAACATCCGTCTGCAAGTCGATGGGAGAAGAACAAAATTCTTTCTTTCAACAAAAGCAGGTCTAAATTCGCAGACTTCCTTCGCTCTTTTTAATCTAAGCGAGATTGCTCATTTTGTTTTTCTTCGAGTACTGAGATATAGCTCAAATCAAAACAAGATTATTACACAACCGTCCACTTTCGTGTTTCATCCCTGAAAAATGTCTTATAGGCACTTCTCGGCTTAATTGAATTTGTCGAATTTACTGGCCTGGATAAGACACTAAAATCGCATGTTACATGATACGTATTTGAAGTTTAATCAAATTTTATATATTTCTGTAAAGTAAAAAGTATATTTTTACTCATATTAGATTTTGTTCCCAAGCAAGTACTTTTAAAATACCTCTACATAAAATTCAACGTATGCGAAAGACGCAAAAGCAAAAAGTTTAAATAAGGGCGCCTCTGCCTTTGATGGTACTTTGCTAATGGATTTGTAAATGTTGTGTATACTTTAGCTTCAAAATCTGCGAGATGTTCAGTTTAGATTCATTTTCTTCCTCAACTTACTTCAACATTATTAACTCTTGTACCTATCTCTATACACACTAATAACATAATATGACCATGCTTGGCAAAACTAGGTAACGTTAATTTGGTTAAAACAGAGTATCCATAAATTTTCCCACGTAAAACAGGGTCCTTTTTATTCGCGCTTTAATTGATTGATTATAGTTTCGCGGTTTCGCGGAGTTAATTCGCGGCCTCGCGCTCTGATTGGTCAATTATGCTGGAGGTTTCGCGGATTTAAATGAATTAATTTAATTCGAAAAAATTAGGCTTTGATTTTGATCAATTAATCAATTCTGGCACTCGATTTAAGCAATTAAAATTCGGGGAATCGGTCAAATTTGTGGGCGCGGCCATGCGATTCTCATCTTTATTAGGTAGAATTATTCGCGTCTTTTAATTAGCTTTTTGACTTGATCTTCTATTTAGCGGATTTAATTAAATTAATTTAATTAAAATTGTATTCAATATTGATATCAATTTGGCGTATTTCAAAATGGCTTCGCCTGCGATGACATCACAAATCTCTGTTGCTCATAAGAAAATTCAATCTATAATTTGTCGCACTCACTATTTAAAATTGGGAACCACGATTTATTGACTAATCGGTAAAATTGTCTCGTCCGATATCAATTGCATAAATTGATCTCACGAAATGTGTGCAAATACAATCAGTAGGTATTTTCCATTAGCACACTATTTCTGTTTTACTCATAATAAATTCTAACCTGTCTCTGTCGTACTCGCTCTATTGAAAATTGGAAAATTAACAGTTCTGTAAACACAAACGCAAAAAAATGTTTATTTATATTTATTATCAAACCTTAAATGTAATTAGATTTATTTAACACATTTAATTTCCAGCTTCATCAGTAGGCGTACCGTTCCTAAAGATGACATATATGTGTGAAATCGGTATGTGTAATGATGATAATGTATGTTGATTTACAGGGTGTTACATATAAGTATGTAAAAAAAATTGGGTGGTAGAGGGAATCAAAACAAGCACTTTTTCCAAATAATCCGAGGGTCCAACGTGTTTCGTTTGGGAGCTACGTCCAAAAAAGTGGTGAAATTTGCATTTCTCTCTCCGTTGGCACGTCTTTGAATAGGTTTCGGTCATGCCCTTTCCGATTTTGCAAAAAAAATTTCATAATTCCTGCCACGAAAGGGCGCACTCCTAAATGAGGATGCGAAAAAAATCTGATTTCGACGAAATTGGGTACTATCTGGGGGTTTTTAAACATGAAAATCACGAATCAGAAATTAGTTTTTGAAAATTCGAAAAAAAAATTCCACTGCATTTCTTGGCCGGAAAACGAAAATGGAGAGAATTTCACGAAATTCGTTGTGTATATACTTGATGACTTAAGGAACAAAATTGTTCAACAGTTTTTTAAAACTTTTCAACCAAACCATTTGAAGATTGGGCCTTCGGGCCACCAAGTGTCCCCCGCCTACTAGTGAGTGATCTAATTTCGCAGGTAGTTAATTGAAAATGTTGCAAATAACAAAACAATAACGATTTAAGTCAGAAGAGCTTTCCTAACCGTCCAGTTTTTTTCAAGTCAGTAACATTTCCGCCGTTGTTTGCTAGAACAGTAGGTACTATACTAGAACCGTCCCTGAGATAGTGGTAAGTATATACTGCGTCCAAGATAAGGATGTCTATCATAGGCATCTCCGAAACCAAAGAAGATACGACGATGGTCAAATTAGAGAAAAGTTCCGCAATTAAACAGTTATTATAATGGTTTAAAGAACCAAAAAATGCCGATTACTTCTGAAGAACTATGTACGGCACACACAAAAATTAATAGTCAGAAACTGTTAAACTGTTGGGTTCAACAAGATGGTGCACCCACGCACAGCGCCCTAATCCTGCAAGAATACCTTTTTTTTTGGCTTGAATCAGTGGTCATTCAACCAGCTTCGTTATGTATAGTTTTTTTTATATAAAAAAAATAAATAAATAAAAAAAAAGAATACCTATCTTTTAAATTTTCCACTTTCCACCAAATTTGTCCAAGTACGATTAAGGTGTTGTGCGCGGAGGCACCATCATTTTGAAACCAAAAGTTTGCAACCTTTGGTTTTTTTGTGTTAGTTGTAGTATAGTTAGTTGTATTATATAAAAAATGCTACTCAATACAGTATGTACTTTTTTACGGGCTATATAAAAAAATAAAGTTGATGATAATTTCTCCGAAAAGAAACAGTGTCTTGTAAAGATCATTAAGTGACAATGAGAAAGTATGTTTTAATTTGTTGTATCTGTACAAATAACATCAGAAAAAAATGAAAACGAAATCGTCAAATTTCGCTTTTTCTGGCTATCTTCAGAAGTTTTTGGAATTTTGTGGTTTACTTTAAAACCACAATTATTGTTTGATCTGAGACCCCTCTGATCTTAATTCTTTTACCATAAGAGATATCGAAAAAATGTAGGAGTAAAATTGGGCACAATTACTATCGCCATGTTTCTAAAATATGTCTGCAGAGTCGTGCTGTATTCCAGTAGCGTATCAAACTTACGTTTTTTTAATGGAACCCCTACTCGTTTTACCGGCTATACTTCAAAAGTACTTATTTTTGTTTATGATATATATTATGATACCCTTAAATTTAATGATTTCGCTGTTATAACCTTTTTTCCTCAAAATTTAATCGTTTTTCAGAGAAACTATATCGCACCGGCGGTTTAGTTTTAAATTGAAGCACAGGCTAAGACCTCTTCCCCTTTTACATAATTTTTTTTTGGTCCTTTATAAAAAAAAAGAAAATTTTGGATTGCCCTTCGCCAAAATGTCCTATTTTTTAAAATCTCAAATGGAACCAACTTAAACAAATTATAATAATAATAATAATATAATAATAATAATATTTAATATGTGCCATTACGCAGTATCTGCATTTACACTTGTCATTTAACCTAACTTTCCTACATAACTATAACACAAGACAAAAATGATTATATTATGTCACAGGTCATAAGAAGTTATAAACTTAACGCTTTTACCGACGAACAAAATTCCTCAAAGGTGTAAAAGGCCTTTGACAGAAGATATTTCTTTATACAGTCTTTAAATAGTTTTGCGGGGAGGCATCTAACATTTACAGGCAAAGAATTATATAATGTCTTCGCTTGGTATTCACATCCGTTCTGGGACGTTGTCAGCCGGCAGTATTGGATAGTTAAATTATCCTTATTACGGGTGTTGTGCGTGTGTTGTTGGCCATTCCATTTGAGACTGTCAACGCTATCTCTTGCGTAGCACAAAGCTTGTAATATGTATACGGAGGGGAGCGTCAATATTTGTAATTTAATGAAGACTTGCCGACAGTCTTGCCTGTATCCTAGACCAGCTACTACGCGAACTGCTCTACGTTGTAGTTTGAATATGGTGCAGGCCGATGCACTATGTCCCCAGGCTAATATGCTGTAGCTTATGATACTATGTACTAAAGCATAATATGCGGACACTGTTACCTGTTGGGAAACAGTTTGACTTAATCTACGTAACACATAAATTGACTTGTTGCACTTGGCCCTTACGAAATCGCAATGTTCATGAAAGTTTAAATGAGAGTCCAGCATACACCCCAGAAACTTCGTGAACTTTACAGTCACATTGGCGTCACGTTTTAATGAAAAAGGAAGTGTTATTGTTTTGTTCGCATTGAGTCCGAGTTTATTTACCGCACACCAATTTTTAATAGCTAATAATCCGTGTACCACGTTGTCATAAGCCACATGATAAGAAGAGTCTGCTGAAATTAGCGTAACATCATCTGCATACAGTATACAGCTGACGGTACTAGGAAGTATGGTCGGTAAATCGTTAATATATAATAAAAATAGCAGTGGGCCCAAAATTGACCCTTGCGGGACCCCACTGGTTATTTGTAATTGTTCAGATGTCTCATTGTTGAACCGAACGCACTGCAGCCTGTTTGTTAAGTACGATGAGATTAACTTTGCACTTGCATCACTAAATTTATAAATCAATCTCAGCTTTCTAATAATAATGTTATGCACTACACAATCGAATGCTTTAGAGAAGTCTACAAAAGACACGATTGCGTACTGGCTCTTCTCGTAACTATTTAGAATTTTAGTAGTAAGGTTGATGATCGCGTCTGAAGTGCTTTTTCCTTTTCGGAAACCGTACTGGTGGGCATGTAAGAGATAGTTGGTTTCTAAGTATTTGATGATTTGGTCACATAGTATTTTTTCAAACACTTTTGACAGTACAGGCAGGATCGAAATTGGTCTGTAATTGTCCATGCTCTCTGTATCACCTTTCTTGAATATAGGGAGTACTAATGCTATTTTCATTAGATCCGGAAAAGTATTAGTGTTTATAATCATATTGGCAATGGTCGTCAGCGGTTTCACGAAAAGCGATATATTTCTTTTAATAAGTTTGGTATTGAAGCCAAAGATATCCCTAGCATTGGAGTTTCTTAATTTATGTAGCACATCGCGCACTACCACCTGAGACACATTGTTGAAGTCGAATTCACTTGTAGCAGAAGAGTCGACTCTGTTACAAATTTGGTCCACGGATGTTGTCGGATTTGTTGCTTTGCTTCCTGCACTGATGAAGTGTGAGTTAAATAGCGTCGCTGTTAATTGAGTATCTGCGTTCACCTTTTGTTGTCGAAATGATTTGATTATGTCCCAAGCTGCTTTGAACTTATTTTGTGAATTTTTGATGTACGTGTCATTTGCCTTTATTTTAGCCGCTTGTAGCTGTTTCTTATATTGGGAAGTCAGAGTCCTTTTCATTTGCAGTAATTTGTCGGAACCATATTTTGAATATAAACTATTAATCATTTGCAAATTACTCCGTATTTTTGCCAGGTTTTCGTTAAACCACTTGATTCCATTATCTTGGCGTCGCGTACTCAACTTTCTGAGTGGGTAGCTATGCATGTAGAAATGTTGTACCGCATTAAAAAAGGTGGAAAATCTGGAATGAGGACAAACGTTATTATTTAGTAGAATAGCGTCATCCCATTCCTTCATCATTGCAAAAAAAATTTCAGATCCTTGTGGTGTTATAGGTCGATAAGTCGTAGCAGCGTATACGTTAGGTCGATTTTTATTTTCAGTTTTCAGCTTGATGGATTGGCCTAAGTGGTCCGATATGCCAGATTCGACGATATCTGTTGAGTAATTTTCCAGAGAAAAATTTATAAAGATGTTATCCAGACAGTTTGTTCTGCGCGTAGGAGAGCGAATGGTCTGAATAAATCCGTATGACGTCATAATATCATTCACAACTTGTGCTTTATGGCAGTTTGTTCCAAAAAGAACATTAAAGTCCCCAGCAATGGCTGTATGATAAGACTGGATCATTTCCAAAACACGGACAAGATTGTCACAGAAGACTTCGAAATCCCCTGCTGGAGAACGGTACATAGTAACTATAACGGTCTTGCAGTTTAATTGAATGCAACATACTTCACAATGTAGCTCAATTGATGCATTATTGATGTGGGTTAATGCCGTCGCAATGCGATCCTTTTTGCTGAAGATGAGAACACCGCCATGCACCATCTTTGTCCTACAGAATAAGGAGGTGACCTGCCACTTATCAATAATTAAGTTTTCCAAAATACGGCAATCAGTGAACCAGTGTTCGCTGATGCAGATAATGTCATAACTTTTATCACAAATAAAAGATTCAAATTCTATCAATTTATTTGTGAGACATTGGATATTTATATGTAGGATCTCTAGATTGAGAGCACGATTCCCACCACACCCCCTAGGACTTGTTACTCTTTTGGAGAGTGTGAGGCTTTTTTCATAAAAAATACGATTCACGCATGTTCCCACAGGCCACGTTGCAGGATCCATGATTTTGGAGAGGTGTTTTTCTAGGACGGTTACTTTGAATGAAGAGTAATACTCAGGGTGCTTGGATGATAGCTTTTCGCATATTACTTCAGGAAACTCTGTGCGAAGATAGTTCCGTACCATGTCTTCAGTTGTTTCCGGATCTAATTTATATACGTGTGCATATACGCGCTTTTCAACAGCTTTAATACTTCCCGTCAGTTCCGTATTGCTTTTGTTGCCAACAATAACTTGTCTTGTTGATCTTTTGGGTCTAACAACGCTCCAATTTACATATATATATATATATACCTATGGATAGCCGAAATAACAAAATTTCTACTAAAAATTTAGGACGATACTGCAGTAGTTATTTAGTAAGAAAATAATTAGGGCTAACAAGCCTTCTTTAAACTAATGGAATACCTTCTAGGCCAAAAAGTTCTCTAGTTCTACATTGTGGTCCAAAGATTCAATGTGCAAAACCATGATAAATGTAAACGCGAACATTTCCAAATATGTCAAGTTGACAGCGCCTACAGAAGATTACCTTTTAGTAAAGGTTAGATGACACCTAATTGTACAACTTTTTAATTTCGGATTCATCAGGACACAAAAACTCACGGTAGATGTAGACGTATTTGCAGTCATTAGTAAGTGCGATGGAGTGAATTTTTTGAGCTTGTGCAGAAATTATTGCAATATTCGCCCCAAGAATATGGTTGAGAAGGTGGCAAGAGGTTTCCACCACCACAGTCCCCAGCGATGGGGGTGTGTCCACTATTAAAATTAGTGAGATTTCTAATTGTATAATTAGTAGTCTTAAGCTTTCGAATGATAATGTAAATAGCTATCATCTTAAATAAATTTGACGTTTCTTCTTGTCAGAAAATTATCAGTTGCTACGCAACACTTTCCGGCCTTGTGATGTAATAGATCACTTTCCGGACTCAAATGAATGATGTAATCTACTGTATAGCGGACAGTATGAAATAAAGTATCGTTACAATACATAAATTTAATTATGTGCTTTATTTATTTACAAATAATTGAAAATAAATTTAAAACAGTCTTAAAATGAATTAGTTTATCGGGGGTAAATACACAAGAGCTTGATTTTTAATCGGCTAATTTTATTTTTCCACGAAAGTTTTGTCGCAACGGAAAATACTAGATATCAAAAGTGCTTTTGATCGAGAGTTTTTTCTTATCTAGGAAGCAACAAAATTTGAGTGAATTAAAAATAAAATTATCCTGATTTAAAACCAAGATCGAGTGTATTTTAGGGAGATTAATAAAAGACCACTATATATTTTACGCATATACCTAGCTCTTAATCAGATAAAAAATCATCCGATTGGTTAGAATTTGAAACAATCACCAAGCTCATTGGTCGTATATTAAAGGAGTGTATTAATCACAGTTAAAATATTATTTATCGCTCACGTACACACAATTTAGCGCGATCTATTTATCACCTCGTCGTTGTAACTGGAACTGTCCTGAATCGTAATTCGATTTTCTTATATA